TGATGTGTATGACCTCGTCTTCTTCAACTTCTCTCCTTTCACACCGTGATGATTGTTCAAGAATTACCACCTTAAATACATTGGTCCCATCATACTTGAAAAGCATAAAATCTGCTTTTCTTATACAGTTCTCTTCTTGGAAACTCTTCCAACCCGATCCAAAGTAGATTTTGTGTCCAATAATACGAGTTTTAACACACCAAACCCTACCACTAACATTTCTGAGGATTATATCTTTAGGGATTGTCCTTCTTCCTAAACCTCTGGACTTCACAAAAGAACTTGGAATAACCTGAAATTTTAGGAAAAACACAATAAGATGATCAAAGTTAATTAAGATATAATACTTCATTGGTACACAAAGTGCAACAATATTCTGAATATATAAGAACATCAATGTTATATCTTCATGTAATTAGTGTAGGTTGCAAAAAATATAACTAAGAAAGTATACCATTGTTTCAGAGTGCTTTTCTGGGGAGAAGATTTTGAAGAAGTACTCCTTGGCTGCAGTAGACATTGAGTTCTCCAAAACTATTGCTACTCCTGACAATTTGACACCGATATTCAAACCAAATAATTTTTACAAGAAAACATTTAATAAACCAATAACTGTAGCATGAGGGCTACCCAATACTGCATTTTTTCTTTTAATATATCCATGTAAAAGAATATTAATCAAATGAGAAAATTAAAGTGTTGAGTACTGTTGCTTAATATAGTAAATTCGTCTGATAACAAAAAGTTGCAATTTCGTGATAATACACATGAAAATTATAGCTTGCAGGCTTTAAATTATACGATTTGATTCTATATCCGTACCAAGATTATGGAAGTCCCGTGCCACGTGTCAACTGCAAGAATAACCATTTTTTCCCCTCACCTCTTGCATGTTTTCTAAAGGATTATTGCATTTGTTATTGTTTGAAAGTCATTTTATATAAACCTACTCAGATGAATAAATAGGACTTTTTTTTTTCATTTTTATTTTGAGATTCTGACAAGAAGGTGGAAACACATGTCTGGAAACATTAACCTTATACAGATTTGGATGTAATAAATGATAATTCTCTATGTATAAGATCAGTAGTCCTCTAATTAATAATTTAATTGGTTTTATACTATAATTTCACACTACAAAGAAAATTCATTTGATATGCTCTGACTGACATCAAGCTTTTGAAGAAATAAGGCATATGAAAACAAGAAAAAAAAATATTGTAACATCAATCAAATAAAAACACTCCATTTAACAAAAAAAAATTATTTTTAATGATAATACATATTGATTTAATTTTAAAATAAAAATTTGTATAATTAAAACATTAATATAATTAGTTTTCAAATTTATTGTTTTTTTATTACAGATTTTCAAGGCTTCAATACTCTAAAATCAATTACCAACATACAAATGGAACCCACCATACATGCCCTCCAATAATATCTTCCAAATCGTCCACACTAACAATCCACCCTTCGCCCCCAAAGGTGATTTAATAAATATCCAAATAGAATACTTGTATATCAAGATGAATACATCTTTCTTCTCTGTTCTTTGTTTTCAGCGTATCAATATGTACTAGCTAGGTTTTATGGGAATGTTGAACAGTGGTTTAGTAGGATAAAAATATTCAGATTTCTTTACTTATTACTATTAATACAAAATATTTTTTTAGAATTTTTTATTTTATTTTAGAGAGACCCATAAGTATAAATAGAGAACTGATAATGTAGTTTGTGATTGCTACCAGTAAAGCTAACTCTTGTTTATTGCGTAGTTTTAAGTTTAACCATTAGATTTATATATATATATATATCTTCTATTATTTAGTGTATTTTTATTTTCTTAAAATATTGATACAGAATCTAACCAAATTGAGAGTTGCATTTTAAGCTCAACTGCATTTCATTCTCATTTTGAGTAGACTAAAAAGCCCTGAAACATTCCTTTTACAGATTAAAAGATAAGCATTGTAGTAAAAGTAGATGGAAATGTCAAAATAGCGTGAAAGTCTCATTGCATATTGTATCTTCTTGTATTTCAGATTATAAGCTTTAAAATATAAAGTAAAATATAATTTTGTATTTCGAATTGTGAATTTTAGTATATAAAAAGTTATATTTTGAATTGCATATTCTGAAAGATAAATAAAAAAATATATTTTAAACTATATAATTTAGAATGTAAAATTTACATTTTAAAGTTTATAAATCAAACTATAGAAATTTACATGGATACAGGAAAAAATTATGGGACTGTGTAAGAAGTTGTCTTTTAAAGAAAGATTGGCTATTTCACTCTGCACCTGCAAATATTCATACTGTACTTCCAATTTCTAAAAATAGTTTTCGAATTTATATTTTCTTTATCGGATTTTAAAATTTGATCCGAAAGGTTTTTTTTATTAAATTTTAATTTGATGAAAGATTTTTTATTTATAAAATTTTGAAATTCGATAAAGAATTTTTCAAAAACTTAATTAGATATTGATATTCGATGAAAAAAATGAAAAAAAATTTCTCGGATATGATAAAAAAAAATCTTTATCGAATTTCAAAATTTGATTAATGACAACAAGGGATGAAGAGATTTTTTTTCGAAATTTTAAGAATTTTGAAAGTACAAAATAAAATGATTGTAAGGTTGCAGCCCATTCTTCATAGCCCAAAGTTTGGTGACTAAGCTAGCTAGTCGTTTGACCAGAACGACTTTATTTTATTATGTTTTTACTAAAAATTTTAAAAAAATTCAACCTCAAAAATAGAGTTAAGACTATATATAGTAGATTATATACTTACGGATGAGAATTAAGAAATATTCCTTTACTCTCATTTTGTGTCACTTTTCGAGTACTTCTGTTTTATGTTATTGTTAACATAAATTGTCCACGGATTATTCACCTTTTCGTCAATACATTTATGGAATACAGATGTCTTATTGTTTTACTATATAAATTGATGTAACTATTATTTTAAATGCTAAATAAAATAAATTGGAGGAGTAAATTACGACCCTGTAAAGATACAATCTTTTATCTCTTGGAGAGCAGTAGAGTGATATGTTGACACTACAAAAGATTAAAAATAACCTATATTAAAATTTAAAATAATAATATTTTAATTATATTTTTTAATTTAAAAATTTAATATTGAATGTTATATTATTAAAAGAATATCAATTTGATGTATATTTTCTTTATAACACAATTAAAATAGTATTTTTCTTTTAATAATACAATAATATATATTAAATTTTAAATTTAAAAATAAAATAAACATAATTAATATATTATTATTTTAGATTGTAATATAAATGTTTTTTTATATATAATGTTCTCAACGTTTCACTACTCATCATTCATTTTAAAATGAATTGTATCAGAAGCCCCCATCGTAAACCCGTGCTGCAAGCCTGCAATCTATACTCGTAATATTATTAGTTTTTACTAGTACCGTAATAAAAAATAAATAAATATTGTTTTCTAAAACAGAAAATTTGCATAAATTTCTTGTTTTAACCATTAGCTACAACTTGCAAAGTTGCCAAATTTGCCGTATTCGTGCTTTCTGACTTCTTTTTTTAACTCAAATCACTATTTGGGCTAAAATTCACTTGCGAGTAATAAAACTGAATCTATTGTTTCTGAGAACAAAATACTAGAGAATTATATCAAAGTTTTAAAATGGCATCCATGAAGTAAAATATTAAGAATATATAAATTCTTTATTTGAATTGTAGTATACGATAAGCTCAATCTATTTGTAAATCAGAGATTAACACACCCTAGATATCTCATTTCAAAGACGTCACTGCAATGGACCTACAGTATCTTTATCAGTATGGATATGGCCCCGCAACACCATATCACACGAAAGACTAGTAAAAACTGCTTCACAAGTATTCTTGTTCTTATATCTAGAA